AATTTTACTGTTACTCCCGTATACATGGAAAAGAATTTGTCAACACGGTTTGATGATATGTAAATCATATAATCTCTCCAGAATTTCTTTTTTTTTAACGCCAAATGCGCATTTTTACGAAATCATGGTATCAGCAAAATTGAAATTCGTAATTTGGAATCCTTTTATTATATACAGGGTGTGGCAGAAATACCCCCCACGCACATGCACACTTATACCTTTCAAGGTAGAGAGTATGAGGCACAGCTTATGGGGATATGTGGGGAAAATAACGGTTGACTCGAGATTTGAACAGGCCAGACTGTGGCGATCGGTGAAGCATCCTCTTGGGAATCAGTTCCACAAATCTGCGATTCGTAGGAAGGGGTTGCTCGAGTGGAATTTACATCTCACCAATGAAATAGGAAAGGAATGGGAGAGGTTTGCTACAATGCTGAGAGACATGGGGGTGCCTAACCATGAAGATTAGAACTGGTTGGAACTAACGAATATAGTTAGTCTGAACCCTTTCCATGGAAATACCAATATAGCAGCGAGAGACTTCATTAAAAATAAAAGATTTAAAACATAATTATATATAATGTGTATATATGTGTATTTATACAATACACACACACACATATCTATGTAGCGAAAGAAAAGAAAATCTGAAAAATTATGTTTACATTGGAATTTCCGCGGTGGAATGGAAACAGAGATTTTATACTCATAAGCACTCATTTTGTAACCCTAAACTAAGACACCAGACAGCTCTTTCAAAAAAAGTTTTAGAATTTAACGAGAGAGGTTTGAAACCACAGATAGTTTGGAAGATTATAGGTTCCGCACGTACTCCTAATAGTCTTGGAGATAGGTGCGACTTATGTTTAGAAGAAAAATTAGAATAATAAAATACTATAATCAAAGCCAACTATTGAATCAGAACAATGAATTAGTGTTAAAATGTCGACATAATAACAAATTCAAATTTCCATAATATTAGCTACCATATTTCCATAATATTCACTCCTCTGTAACTTTTCAAATGTCAATTCTAATTTATATATTCTCCAACTCTTTACACTATATTAATTAAAATTTATAAACTTTCCCTTACTCTAAGATCTCTTCAACTCTCTTTCCATTAATCGCTTACATTGTTTTATCTATATATTTTAAACCCCTTTTATTCGTCTTTTTTTTTTTTTTTTTTGTAAATTAATTTTTCATTCTTCATGTAACCCCAAATTAATGTCATAAGGTTAATATTTGGGTTTAATTTTAATAAATTTAATTTTATAAAACTTCTTCCAAAGACAAATTCTTTCCACTCTCCCCTGACCTCTACCTCGTGCCTTTCGTCTGACTGAAACCTTGAAATGGGTAAATTCTGTATTAGTTTTTCGAGTGTTATTTTTTTTGTTTTCTTTTTATTTTGCTGAAGCTTTAATATAAGCGAAGCATGTTAGATTGATAAACGCTTCTTATTTGTTCTTTATCTTATCATACGCATGTATATAGGGTGCGATGGGTAAACTTTCGCCATTCTATATTTAAATTTCACGCATGCGCGTTGTCTGTTTTTGATTTTGTCGATTACACAGTATAGTAGAGTTAGTTGGGCATTGTCTGTGCATGGCGCAATTCATTCTGCCAGAAATTTGGAAACGACGTGATGTACTGCTTGGCACTCGCACCGAAATCTCTAATGCGAACATTTCAGAATGGTGTCTATCTGATTACAGTGCAGAGGATTCAGAGAGAGTTGAATGAGTCTAATATTGATTACGATTTTTGCAACGACATCACCCTTTAGGTCTAGTCACCTAACTTCCCAGACTGCAACGCCCTTGATTATTGTATGTAGGGTGCGGTTGAGCGAGAGACCAACAAAACTCTTTGTAACAGCAAAAATGTACTACTGGCAAGGATTATGGCAGCATTCACCAACTTAATCAATGAAACTGTCCAGAAGAGTTGCAGGAGATTCCGAAGCTGTGGTTGAAGCCAATGGCGATTTTGTTCAATAAATTTACTTTTTAGTATTTCAAGATATTTTTGAGTAATTTTTGTAAATATATCTCTTAAAATGAGACGTCAGTGTTATTTTCATTTTTACGTAATTTAGACAACAATTAATCTCTCTCACTTTGCATATATATATATATATATATATATATATATATATATATATATATATATATATATTAAACAAGGCTAATAATATTCCATGATATATTAGTGTTTAAGCCTTTTTATTATATCCTTACTCTGTCCTGGACATTGAGTTCTACTTGGATTCTATCCTCTCGAAATTTTTTTTTTTATTCAAAAATATACATGTATGTGTATGCACCTATGTATATATATATCTATATATTTTGCATATGCATGTGTATATTTACCACTAATATTATCTCTCTCTCTCTCTCTCTCTCTCTCTCTCTCTCTATATATATATATATATATATATATATATATATATATATATATATATATATATATTCCTACAGGAAAGCGCATATTTTTCTTTAATAAGATTTTGAGAATATTTAGACCGGTAGACGAAAATAAATAAATATACTGTTTAATAAAGAAACGCAGTGTCTTCTCAAATACGAGTATCCACTAAAGATGACGTTTAAAGTGATAAAATCTGTCCGATTGCTAAATAAAAAAATCCATTATTTCGTTAGAAAATTGACATATAAACTTATATATACAGGGTAAGCGAGAAATACCTCCCACATAAACCTCGATGAAAAACCTACTACATAATAATAAGGCATTAGAGTATTCATTTAGCTAATGTCTTACCATTATGTGGGAGGTCTTTCTAATGCACACTATGGTAACTAGCCTGATAGAGCTTTTTTCACTTGTTTCCCTGGTTGTCATAGCTGACCTGGTTCTCCTGTTATATATTTAGAGATTCCTGATAAAATCCAAAGAATAATCTACAATGTTATTGGCCTTGACATGGCGTCTCGGATTCAGACACATTGCCACCGCTGTCATATAGCTTCCCCGTGCCTTTTCTATAAATACTTACATGTTAATTGTTCTGACGAACTTTTCTCTGTGGTACGGATGATGAGGGTGAATTGTAGAAGGAAAACGCTTGTAAGAACTCCCCATCCCTGTGAAGTGTGCACTCGTGCGAGAAGAAGCACCCCCTCCCTCGTTTAGCTCGAGGCGAGTGCTCCTTCTATCATGAATGTCGGATTGCTCTCAAGCACCTCTTACGGGCAAAGGATGGCTTCTCCGACATCCAGGCTTTGTCCCGTAAGGCATTATATCACGTGTGAGTTAGGGGATCCGTTCAAGATAGTATGATAGACGAGCTGTATATGGCCTTTGATGCTCGAGTTGAAATGCCTTACTAATGATGAGGCATCACTCACCTGACTGGTGATACGAAAGCCCAAAAGGCACTCTAGATCGGCAAAAAGACTGTTCGGGAGGGTTTGGAAAATTCCCCAAACTACGTTCGCTGCGGTGAGTCGGTGGAGACCCTGGGTCGCACCTTCTTCCACTGTAGGGAAGATTATTTAAGACATCATGGCTTGCATGCTACGCCTAAAGCTTTTTGTCCTCGAGACCAGTTCTGTGTGGTCCTGCCGTTGACTAAGGCTGAGCACTATATGTTATTTTGCTTACTAGGCATTATGAGAGTCGTGATATAGACGACGCGACAAAAGGAATCCTATGAGGACGAGAAGTTTACTTCTTCCCAAATGGACTTAAAGTCAAAATTAGAACTGAAAGCTTATGCCTTTTTCCATCAGAATTTAGCAAAATGTGGGTGAGTCTTGCGCGTCTGTGTCAAGTAAAATAAGCTGACTTAGAGTAGCATTTTCATGCCGGTTCTGTATCAGGATAGTGGGAACTCTTGTGTTGAACATTGCTAACCCCGCCCAAGATAGGGTAGTTTATGTTTGTTTTATCCTTACTTTCTTCCATCGTTAACTAAAGAACGTATGCTCATTGACACTTTTTTATTTCTGTCTCCATTTTCATTATTTTAATTCCCTTCCCACATTAGGTGACAGAGATGACAGATCTCTGGTAGATGCAAGGCACTTTTCGTTTTTCGAGTGTGTAATTTGTATTTGTTTTGGCGTCTGGATGAGTGTGTGTTTAAGTGTGTGTTTAGTTGAATTATTGTTATTTAGTACCTAGTCCCACATTAATTTTGTCCAGTTAACTTTTTTTCTGTCACATTTAAGGTTTGTGGGTGGCTTTATTGCTTACACTATTTTGTTTAGTTTCTTTTAAATAAATAGTATTCATTGTAAATATTCACTCGGGTTTCATTTTTAAATGTTGTTATTTTTTATTCCTCACTCTCGACAGGCAAATCATACATATGGGAACTAGTTAGGACTACATAGAGACTTTGAGATATTACGGTGACTGTAGTAAGAATGGTCAGTAAGAATGTGTTGTTTTGGTGTAAGAAATGTGTGTTAAGTTCAGTAATCGGGGCTAGCTAATTTTAAGCTAAGACAGATTAAAAACACTTATTCACCCTTTTGGCCTTGTGCCATATTTTTTATTACACAAAATAAATATTACTTTCCTCTATAGACAATGTATTTAAGCTCAATACTAGATTGGTGGCAAGGTCTCATCATTTTACTGTTGAAATTGCTAGATGTAACCGTAAGTTCTATGCCGACAGTTTCTTCTCTCGCACTTCTCGCTTGTGGAACTTTCTTTCGGCTTCTTGCTTCCCAGTCAACTTTGATCTTCAAAAATTTAAATGCAATGTCAATCATTATCTTCTGTCTTCTTAATTGTTGTTCTTTTATTGTCTTTCCATTTTTATAGTAGATTTTCTCATATTCTCTAAAAACTCAGTGAGCCTTTGCGTCTTAGTGGCTTTATTGCCTTGCTTGGGGTGAAATGATTAAAATAAGCATCTCTAATTTCGGAGTGAAAATTATTGAGATGTCATAAAATAGGCAGACACATGCGTTAAAAATATGTCTGCGAAAAGTTCTTACAGGCTAGCTTGCTTATGGCCATATCACGTTGAAACATCGGTTCCAGTACGATCACTGAAGTTAAGCAAGGTCGAGCCTAGACAGTACCTAGATGGGTGACCGCTTGCAAATACCAGGTGTTGTAAGCTTGGATGTGCGTGTTGTGCAATGGCTCGGAATTGTTAATCGGAGCGCGGAGTTTCAATTCACATTGTATTTATATTCGCTTATGCGCAAATACACTTGGGAAAGATATGAATCCACTTTTCTCCCCCAGATATGGGTTAATTAGCAAGACATGTATCCCTAAAATTTTTATTATCTCCACAAAAAATCTTACAATTCAAAATATATTTATGCCTTTACATAACCTGGTTGAGAAGTCGTAAAAATGAATGAATCAATCAATGAACATAGTGGCCTTTTCATAATTCGTCTCTTCACGAGTTGCTTAATCTGTTACGCTTGTACAGGTCGGAGGTTTATTGCAGCTATAACCATATTTGTATGCCTAAGGTAAGATAACCTAACAGAGACCATCCTTCTTCAAGATTTTTTTAAGTGCTGATTTTCCTTCTTGAGTTTCCACGACAATGTAAAAGAGCGCAGTGAGCCGTCCTTTTTAAACCTTAACCAGGTTGAATAGCAAATGGTTCTTTCCCGAATTTGTGCTCAAATGAATATAATAAATCGAAATTTCGAACTCTTTCGGTCCACACATCAATTTTCATAATTTGATTCAATCAATAAATACAAAAGTTTCATTCACATCCATTAATTATTTGGATTTTTCTAGACAAACACTGGCGGTGAATATTTTTCACTCAATTTTTCTACTTACAAGTGTAGATTTTAAAAAAAATAATATCCCTGTTTCTCTGCAAAGATAGAAAATAAATTTAAATCAGATTTTTCTCCAATGCTTTTCAAAATTTTCAATAATAAAATCTTTTACGAAAATACATCAAATTTTTCTATACTATTAAACTTTTCTTTCGCTTGCTCATTTTGGGACAAGCCCATTGTCGTTGTTACTGGATACAGTCCGACATCTTTAATCCGGAACCCTTAGGACAAGACCACTGTCAGACCACAGAAATACCGGATAACCGAAATCACCCCGAAAAAACCCTATGTAAAGATAGGTTTTCTAGCTAATTCCACATATTACTGTGTTATCAAAGGTTGAACAAAGCTTAAAATAATCATTAATGCTTCCAAACAAAGTTTGTATTGTTTCATCCAATACAAAAGCTAAACAAACCGTAAATCTAAAAAAATAAATAGCTAAATATACAGTGGTAGATAAGAAATAAGAAAGACCATACCACCAAAACACTCTGCTGCTGTCGCCTGCTGCGGAAAGTTGTAAACAACTTGTGGCGCTGCTCTCGTAGACATTTGACAACCTAATGGCGGCTGATTTTAAAAAGTGCCACGTACTGCTGGCTTAAAGAGATCTCTCTCTCTCTCTCTCTCTCTGTATCTCTCTACACACACACACACATTGTGTGTGTGTGTGTGTGTGTGTGTGTGTGTAATTTCTGTCCAAGCAAGTCACTGAGATGCACGAAGTTAATGAAACAATATTAAGAAGAGAGAATAATAAAAGAACAGGTATTAAGAAGACAGAATTGTTTAATATATATATATATATATATATATATATATATATATATAAAACTCTCCCGTCGTTTTTTCGACGTATAAGGGTCAAGCAACTCAGTTCCTAGGAGCCAACAACACATGATTTGATTATAATGATGAAGGCTTTTTGCACAATCAACCACACTTTTTGAAGAGCCAAATACAACGACCCTCTGCAGGTTTTGAATTCAGAGTTGCCCTTCTCCTAGAACAGTTGCCATCCAAGGAGGTTATAGAACCTACTCTGCCCTGCTATTTACCCATAGTTGGGATATATATATATATATATATATATATATATATATATATATATATATATATATATATACCTTTGTACGTAAATAAATAGTTAACTACAACATTTACAAAAGCAAAAAGGCCTGAAATATGAAGTAATCGCATCAGGAACTCGTATGCTGATTTTTCTTCTTTCATGTTGTTCTGTTTTTCAACATTTCCCATGTGTGTGTGTGAAGAAATATTGTTTTAAGGTGTGCTATATTTATGGGATAAAGTGCTCAATATCAGAGATAGAGCGTATGTAAATATAAATATAAAAGTGAACATTGAAGTTAACACTCAAAGGCGACAGGCTGTTTCATGCTAGACGCAATCGTTAGGCCTGAATATATATATATATATATATATATATATATATATATATATATATATATTGTATAGTGGCAACAGATCATTATTCAAACAAATATTGTTAAATATAACAGACAATGAATGTCTAATATGTTTTATCGTGAGCATTTCAAGCGTCGTATAATGGCTTTAGTTTCAAGAAAATCTTAAAGTTCGTGCCTTATCTCTTATTCGACTGGAATATATATATATATATATATATATATATATATATATATATATATATATATACCTTTTGCTCATCTTGCCTTCAATATATTCTTTTCACGCCGTCTTTCCACTTTATTTGCTCTAGAAATTTCAACTGTCACTTTCTGATGTCAAGTAAAATTGAGTGAAAACAAAATCGACAACTATTTCTTCATATTTTCTCTGAAACTTCGTCGTTGTTCAGATATTCAGTCCATGGTATTTTCCTCATCCTTCTGTAGATTTCTTTTTCTTCAAGTCTCTTCTTCATCTGTGAAGAGGTTGTCAGGTATTTTCACTGCAGCAAAAAATAATTATTCTCCATGTTTGATTAGCTTCAGTCGGATTTTTTTTTCCTTGAATTGCTTGTAATAAAACAAAAATTTCTTCTGTGGTGCGATAACGATCAAATGGCTCGTTTGAATGAGGATTTGCAACAGTAAAAGATTTTTTCCGCTCAAGATTTTAAAAAAGGGAGAACATGTAGCATATTTAGAACATGTAGCATATTTAGAACATGTAGCATATTTGCTGTAACTTTCAGGTGTTCATTTCTTTTCACTCATGCAGCATTTTAGCACCATTTTCATATTTTTATTATATTTGAAGTTGAAGATTTTTTTTTAAATATTCGAAGTAGTTGTGGAATCTTTCTTTTCTGATGGAAGACACTAAAAAGTAAAGTAAAATCATATAAAAGCAGGTAATGACTGAATAGTAATAACGAGGCAAGAGTAGAGAGGAAAAGTGGATCAGAAGGTTGCAATAGCAAGAGGGATCATCATTTCAAACCACGGGGAATTCCAGTAATATATGTTTAATCATTTTTTAGGTCCAACGGTACAAAGTTTAATCTAACAATTGTACAATTTTTTATTACACGATTTGGACAATTAAACTCTGCTGTTAAACTCGGTATATATATATATATATATATATATAGTATTTACATTAGTCGGACTATTGTCCTCATCTTTGTCGCCATACTGGATCTAACCAACGCCTTTATCCACTGTGCCATGTGTCCTTGAGGACATCTGGGTATGAACTTCTGAGTATTATAAACCTAATGTTTTCAGCATCATTTTTACCAGTGCTCATATTGCAATTTTTGCTGTTATCATTGCATGTCTTTACTCCTGAGCCGACCAAGCATAGAAATAAATACAATATGGGAACCAGTAATAAGGAGTGCCAGAGAAAAGCAATGATAACAAAGTTGCAATATGAACTCTGGTAAAGACATGCAATGATAACAGCAAAAATTGCCTGGTTAAGGCAGTGGAGAACTTTCAGAGGGAAAATTAGCAGGAGATAACTGATAACTGACATCCATCAAACATGGCACGTGGAATTAGAACAGTCTACCCCAGTGATCGAAATAAAGGGTTCAGTTCGAAATTCCAACCACCTGAAGAAGGCCGGAGCGTACAACGGCCGAAACGTTGTGACAAATATGGCGACAAAAGATGAGGACAATAGTCCGACTAATGTAAATACTGTACATAATACCTCATCTCAGAAATATATATATATATATATATATATATATATATATATATATATATATATATATATATATATATGATAAGCAAATATAAATGGATATAAATCCGACAGAATGAAGAAAATATCTGGAAAAACAAACAAAAATCCTTAGAATTCATATTAAAACAACATAATCACATTCTAAGGATTTTTGTTTGTTTTTCCAGATATTTTCTTCATATATATATATATATATATATATATATATATATGTATATATATATATATATATTTCAGTAATGATTCCTTTAATTCGTGACCAATGGCCATCTCTTCTTTCCTGATTTTGGTTGGTTTGGTTTGTTTTACGGCATTTTTAACTTGAATTGGTTATTTAATGCCTTGAATTTTTATTGTTGATATTTTTTTTTCAAAAATGTATTAGTGGTAATATATTCTCCTTCAAAAACCTATTTCTGGTAATATGTTTTTTCAAAAATGTATTGCTGGTAATATTTTTTCAAAAATGTATTGCTGGTAATATTTTTTTTTTCAAAAATGTATCGCTGGTAATATTTTTTTCAAAAAAGTATTACTGGTAATATTTTTTTCAAAAATGTATCGCTGGTAATAATATATTGCTGGTAATAAGTTTTCCTTCAAAACATTATTGCTGGTAATAATTTTTACAGAGTATTTCTGGTATTAAAACCTATTTCTAAAATTTCATAGTGTTTTGACCCCAGTTTGGGGGTTAACTATTTGCCCATAGCTGGGACCCTAACAGGTGCTACCACCGCGGGTCAGAGTAGACCTGGGAAAACCTGCAGTTAAGAGGTGGTTCCACGCTCCTCAAAACCTCCTGATCAGAGGCCTCACTGTTGGTCGTAGTTTATCTTCTTACCTAGGACGCCCTGATTTTGAGTGCTTCCCTGTCTTAAAATCCTTTGCAAATATTTTATATAAGCAAACTACTGGCAATTAATTCACATTCTACATGTAAAATGTCTCCGTTGTAATTAATATTTGCATCCAGTTCTGATCGCAGACAAACTGTTCCTTCAGTTCCTTTCTATTGTAAAATCATTTACAATATATTCCTCTCGTAAATTTTCTTCGTGCTGCATTTACATTAGATGTATAGCAGAACTCTCCTGTCCGTTATGTTTGGT